AATAATAGGATTAATAGGAATTATAAGAATTTAGGTAGTAAGAGTTAGCTTTAAAATAGATTAGGAAGGCTAGAAATTCTTTATAAATAGGGACAGGATAATACTTATATAATAGTAGTAGTAATTTTCTAAATTTTATAAGTAATTAGTAAAATTATAGTATTATAATAAAATTTTAAAGTATATTAATATTTTTTAAAATTCTTAGTTAATAATCTATTCTAAAATTATAAATAAGATATCTTTATTTATATTTTCTTCTAATATAAGATATTAAAATTTAGTAAAAAAATATTAAACTTATAATAAGTTTATTAGAGGTAGAATAGGTTAGTATAAGTATTAGTTTCTAGATTTAGATTTCTAAAAGCTTTCTCTAGAATTTCTAAAATTTTAATATAATTACTTAATTTATAGATTTTATCTTAAATATATAGTAAGATTTAGATATATAGGATTTCTTTAAGATAACTAGTTATATAAGCTATTCTATTATTTAGGGTTAGAAAATAGTTAAGATTTATAATTATTTTCTAGTAAATTTAAAAAATAAAGTATCTTAAGTTACTTTATTAGCTATTAAACTTATTAGGGTTAGGAAGTTATTTAAAGATTTAGGTAGTAAGAATAGATATAATAAGAGTAATAATAGTAATAGGGGAGGTAGTAATATTAATATCTCTTTTAAAAGAAGATAATAATTAAGAAAGTATACTATTTTAAGTAAATACTTTAAATAATTCTTATTAAGTTTCTTTAATTTATATCTTCTAGTACTTAATCATATTATCTTTTTATTAAATATAGTTAAGAAGGTTAGTAATAGTAAAGTATAAAATAGATAATTTATAGAGTTCTTCTATAATAGTAGTAAAGAACTAGTATATCTTAGTAATATATTATCTTAATTTATCAGGGGCATTATATAGGAGGATTTCTATATCTTTAGGTAGTATAAGTAGCAAGGCAGGCATAATAGTAGTAATTAACTTCTAGTAGAGAGGAGCTATATAATATTAGGGGGTAGAATTAGATTTAGATATTTATTAACTAGGAGCTAACTAGATAGAATAGTAGAATAGTAGGTATCAGGTAATAGATAGGATATAGCTTGAAGAGCTATAACAAGATTAAGGATAATATAGCTTAAATATAGGAATAAGGGCAGACAGTCAAGGCAGAATCTAACTAGATAGGTACTACAGCTTCGCGCTGTGACACTAACTTTATTTACTCTAAGTTTATAAAAGTATTATTATTTATAATTAATTATAGATTTTATCTAATATTAGAATTTAAACTAAGTTATTCTACTATTTATCTTACTAAGAAAAATACTAAAAAGTTTACTAATATTATATATAAGATTTATAAGTTTATTTATATTAAGATTTTATTTACTTAAGCTTATTATAAAGTATAAATTAATTATTAAAGATAACCTATATATTATTATATTATAAGATAAGAAATCTAGCTAGATATCTATAATATCTAAATATTCTATCTATAAAAAAAATTAGATTAGAAGAACTTTAAACTATATTATATTAAAAAAATTATTAATCTATATATTTATAAATTTAAACTACTTAAAAATATAAAAATCTATTTTATATTTAATATATTTCTACTTTACTCTACTACTAATAATCCTTTATTTAATTAATATTCTAATTTATTATTACCTATTAAAGTAGAAAGATTAAAAGAATAAGAAATTAAAGAAGTTCTTAATTCTTAATAAATTTATTAAAATTATAATAAATTTAAGTTATAATATATTATTAAGTAAATTAAATATAATAAACTAATTAAAGAGCCTATTAAATATTTAAAGAATATTTATTAATTAATAAATAATTATTACTTCTATTATTCTAAGAAATCCTAACTAATTCCTTCCTAATTTTAATAAAGCTTAATCTTAAGAAAAGAAATATTATTATAGTATAAAGCTATAATACTTATTTAATTAAATTTTATCTTAATTATTTACTCTTATTCCTATATTTAAATTATATTATTCTTAATCTTATTATAGCTCTTTAAGCTATATCCTATCTATTACCTAATACTTACTATTCTGCTATTCTATCTAGTTAGCTCCTAGTTAATGAATATCTGAATCCAACTCTGTCCCCTGACAAGTTATATTTAGCTAATTATTATATATTTTCTTTAATACCTTTAAAGATTTACTTTTTGCTTTTAAATATTATATAAAAAGGTATCTAGAATAATTATCTAGAATTAGTAGGATATACCTAATATTATCTTTTCTAATTAATTTAATTTCTTAGAGATCTATATATATAAATTATAATAATTTTATTATATATAGTTATAGTTTTTAGGATATTTTTTTCTTTAATTTTAATAATTAATATATTTTATAATATAATTTAGTATTCTAATTAGTAGGTAAGTTATTAGTAGCCAAGTTATTATTATAAAGTATTATCTTATTATATTTTAATTATTTAATAAATAGATAATCTAATTATTAATATAATAAGTTTATTAGTATAGTAGGCATGATTACTACCTTATTTAGAACTAAAAATAGAATATTATTATTTAAGATAGTATATCTAATTACCTTATTTATTACTATCTTATAAATATATTAATTTTTTAAATTAAAATAAATTTCTAATTTTATCTTTATTCTTTCTACTAGTATTAGGTTATATAATATATTTAGATTCTAAAGATATTCTATTTAATATAATATTAAAGTACTATTATCTAATTTAAATTAAATTATTACTTTTTTATAATCTTAAGAATATACTATCTTATTATTAGAGATAATAAAACTATAATTCTTGAAATTATTTAGATCTTTAATTAAATTATTAAAAAGATTATAATTATTATATATTATATAGCCTACTCTAGAGTTATATAATTACCTATTCTTAAAAATAATTAATATTAAAGTTATTAGTATATTAACTCTAGATAGTATAAAATTATTAGTATCTAGAATAATATTAGTCTATATAGCTAGATTAATTTAGCTTTAGGTTAAATTATTCTTATTCTTTAATTTAAGTAGCTTAAAGTATTAAAGTATAGAAGTTAGTCTCTATCCTTTCTTTTACTTATTAATTACTAAATATAAATAATCTTTAGTATTATATTTTTTCTCCTTATAAAATAGATATAATATTCCTAGTTTCTTAAATTATTTTAACTAATAATTAATATAGTTTATAATTATTATATTTTATAATAATATATATTTCTACTATTATTATTATTTTCTTTTATTATTTATTATTAGTTAAGAATTTAATATATTTATAATAAGTATAGTAGTATTAAATATAATATTAGATAATAAATTCTCCTAAATCTTATTCTTTATTATATTATATATAGTATAAAAATACTTTTATATAATTATTTTAATAGGATTATTATTTAAGTTATTTAAGATTAAATTTATAAAACTTATATTATTTTTTTTAAGTTCTTAAAATATTATAATAATTATTTAATAAAATATAATAATTATTTTTAACTTATTAAAAGTATTTATTTTCTAGATAAAATTTAATATAAACTTATTAATAATTATATAATTCTTATATTTAATCTTAATAATTTCTCTCTAGATCTAGTATATATATTTTTAATTATTATTAATAATTATTCTTTATATTTTTTATATAAAATTATTTATAAAAATATATAGAATAATATTTATTAATAGTTTTTTTATTAGTTTCTTACTTATTAAATATAGTATTTAACTAGCTATTATTTATAAAAGTAATTCTTATAATTTATATTTAAAATTATTAAATTATAGTCTAGGAATATTATTTTTAAGAAGCTTATTTATTTTATAAAGTCTTAACTTTATTTATATAAATAAAGTCTAAATTTTAAATTTTAAATTATTTTCTAATACTATTATTAGGCTTAAGTTAAATATACTATTCTTTAGCTTTATTACTTAATTTTAGCTATTAGTAAACAGGGTAGTAGCTATTAAAGGTAGGTATAGTAAGTTAGGGATATTAGGATATCTACTAGGGATAGATTTAATTATTATTTTAGTTAAATTATAGAGATTTTCTATATATTATTACCTAGATAGAATAATATAATAGTAGTAAGTAATATTTCTACTAGGATCTCTATCTAATTAGGTAGTAGATCTCTATACAGGGGTACAGGAATATAATAAGAGTTTTTTGGAGGTCTATAAAGTATAAAATAGAACCTTAAGGAGGGCTCATAACCTGATAAAGGTTATTAAACTATGATAGTAGAGAGTTAACTGAAATAAATTTAATTAGGTCTAACTAGGAGAATAGAGAAGAAGAGATGCTTGGAAGAAGCATAGAGATCTAGAAGGAAATAGTGGCTTAAATACACTGGGTAGTCACGTGTCGCTATCTGCTTTATGGTGGTGCTGGTTGCATTCACTGAGTGCAGCACTCCAACAATATACAATAGCTTAGTACAGAGCGACCCATTGGCCATGACCGCAAGTTCCCAGAACAAAGGTTCCATGTGGAATGAGTTGGGCGTTAAAATATGAGCCAGTGTCCACCTTCACAAGCAGCCATGCCCCTTGGGCCTATGAAAAGATATGGGGACTGACAACTTTTAAACAAATCAACGGAGTGGTCTGGTCAATTGCCCTATTTAGGCTGTTACACTTGCCGCCCGGAGATCCGGTGGACCGTGCCCAAGAACGTTCCTATTGCCAGTATTTATAGGTCTCGGAGCAAAGTTCACCCGGATCAGCCTCGGGGGGACATGTGATTGCGTCCATCTTTCGTCCAAAGCTCACAACAAAGGCCTCCCCTCTTGTACCAGCAAAGATGAAGAGGCCATGCTTCTTCCTCATACGCGCCTTGCCCTCGCACCCATACTTTCGCCGTTGTTTTTTGGTTACGGACAAGGCAGGCCTGCCATATTTCCACCGTCAACCCTCCCGTGCCTTCTTCACTGCGTCTAAATCAACGGCCCCGACAATGAGCACAGGTCAGGTCTTGTACGAGCCTATTGAGAGCGTGGAACGGATGGAATATTATCAGGAGGGTGGCTATCATCCTGTGGAAATTGGCGACCGCTTTCACGGTCGCTACCGTGTCGTTCACAAACTCGGTCACGGCACATACTCCACAATCTGGCTAGCTCGGGACGAGATATCTAACCGATATGTTGCCGTTAAGATTTGCACGGCGGATTCGGACCCTCTTGAGACCGATACACTGTCCGAGCTATCAGAGCCTCTAAAGTCATCAGATATAGGCACAACGATGATACCTTCTATGTTGGATCGATTCAACATCCAAGGCCCTAACGGTAACCACGCCTGCCTGGTGACAAGCCCGGCAAGAATGAGCTTATCTGAGGCAAAGAATGGATCATGGATAGGCCTTTTTCAGATTGATGTGGCTCGTGCGTTGGCGGCACAGCTCGCGACGGTGATTCGGTATATGCATTCAGAAGGCTTTGTTCATGGAGACCTTCATCGTGGAAACATCCTCCTCCAACCCCAATCTAACTTCGATAAGTTATCTACTAAGGAGCTATATGAGCTGTATGGAGAGCCGGAACTTGAGCCAGTCAATCGATTAGATGGCCAAACGCCTCCGCCAGGAGTCCCAAAATATGGCGTCGTACCTATCTGGCTTGGTGAATCAAGTGAAAAAGTAACACTCCCAGAAGCCAGGATCATTCTTGCAGATTTTGGCCAGACATTCTCTCCAACACGAGAGAAGAGATTTGAGTCGCATACACCCCTTTTAATAAGACCCCCCGAAGCTCGATTTGAGCCGACAATGCCGCTCACTTTCTCATCTGATATCTGGACGCTTGCATGTACTATCTGGGACATCGTCGCCCAACGGTCCCTATTCGAAGGCTTCCTCACAAACGAAGATGACATGACTTGCCAGCAAATCGCAGCACTGGGCCCGCTCCCGACTGAATGGTGGGAAAAATGGGAGGGCCGTGGAAACCACTTCACTGACGACGGCGAGCCAAATAACCGAGTTACATCCCAGTATAGGTCCTTAGAGGATGCGTTCGAATTAAATATCCAGCAACCGCGGAGTCAGGCGGGGATGCCGCCACTTGGATTAAGTGAGCGAGATGCTCTCTTCGCGATGTTGCGTCCAATGCTTTCTTTCAAGCCTGAGAATCGCTCGTCTGCTCAGCAGGTTCTTGAATCGGAATGGATGGTGAAATGGGCTATTCCCGAGTATGAGAGGATCCGGAGCTCACAGGACAGCTATAGTGGTCGCAATTTTACATAGAAATCCCCGATGACTCGTGGTCAAGAGCCGTCTTTAGATTCGTTCCTTGACGCTCAGCGCACTGGACAAACTCCAACGAAAGACAAATTTCGAATTCCCTTACCAGACGGGTGGACAAAAATCCGATGTGCTTTATTTATTCTGGGACACTGGGAAGAAAAGGGTTAACCTAGGAGGAAGCAATGCATAATGAGCAGAATGAGTGGTGGACGGATACCCAGGGACACCATACTAGCCAATGATCATATCGTGAGTGGTAGGATTAAAGGGGGAGCAGGGGCTTCCTTAGTCAACTAAGTGATAATATAGTAGATTTCCATTAACCCGGTAATCTTTGCCGACCACGGGTCTTTGGAGCATATGAACTACCAGCTACATGCCCCTCAAACAGGCAGCTTCGTTATCCCAGAGACAGCCTGTTATTGTTCTGGTCCTCGTTCTGGTCCTCCAGCCTTTCTCCACAGCCCACCTGACCGATATTAGGCTCTCAGCGAAAGGGCTAGTGGCCAGAATGACAGCACTCAGGAAAGAGATCACCATTCTGGACCCTTGGCAAGAAAGAGGATCAGCTATTGGGAGAATAGTCGTACTTGCAGACCTCTGTTGCCGCCAACGCGAGTTGAATGATAATCGAACGCCTGGGCCGTCCACCACCATCCGATAAGATCATTAATTGGCCGGTAATATGCAAAGCAACTCACGACTACGAACTCAGTGAGGAGAGATCTTACTCATTTGTAAATGGAACTGTGTTGCCAGTCAATACGACCGTCTATAGTTTGTGACGGACAAGCAAACGGGCGTCTGAGGCATGGACGATGCCCATTGGTAAGGGCAGAATTGTCCAAGTGGGGGCCAAAATTGCCAGGATCAATCAAAACCTTGAGGGGGCTGAAACCTTGGCCCATGGGGAGCTCGGGCTTCGCCCTTCTCCCCATTACCTTTGGTTACCCTCCTCCACTCTTTGGTACCTTCGCGTATAATGGCTGGTAATCAGCAACAGATACCTGGTTAGAAGACCAGATAGGTTCGTAAGAGCAAGGACACGAAAGCGTTTGCTGGAACGAAAGGGCACTTCGTATTCCCGCACAGACCCCTCTGCTGCGTTAGCGCATGCAAAAGGATTACCAGGAGTTCCAATTATCGGCCACCTATTGCCGCTGTGATTCAAAGTAGAAGATCCAACCGCGTAGGTGGCCACGTGATTAGGATCCCGACCTCTCAACCCCAGCGTGCTGAAGTGCTTCTGTAGAAGTCCATCTGTTGCGTGCCTCTTCCAGTCCGCAATGCGTATATCCGAGAGCAAAGTGATAGTCAAGACCCTGTCCGAAGCCTGTGGCAAGGCTGAACAAACTGGACTAATTGACGTTAATGACCTGATAAGAGGTTTGTCAAACTATGACGGTAGAAAGTTGACCGAAATGGGTTCAATTGGGTCTAACTCGGAGATGAAGAGATGCTTGGAGGAAGCATGGAGATCTGGAAGGAAACGGTGGCCTAAATACACTGGGTAGTCACGTGTCGCTATCCGCTTATGGTGGTGCTAGTTGCATTCACTGAGTGCAGCACTCCAACATATTGTATTTAATAGGGTCTTCACTTCCTAGAGATCAATCCTTCCACTCCAGCCGTCGATCCGCCCTCACTAGTCCAAGCGAGCCTGTAAGCTTTTCAAACTCTTGAGGAGACTCAATGCAGAGGTTTCGCAAGCCTTCGATTAGTTTTGATTCCTGAGTCGCTTTACCTCTCTGAATAAGTGGGCGAAGGCTTGCGCTATCAGCACCAGCGTTCCGATAACCAATTGCCAAAGCTTGCCTCAAAGGCATTTTTCCATGTGGAATAATATGCCGCGAAACGAGAGCCTCGGCAGTATCTTTCCCGAGGAATTGGTCTAGAGCAGAACGCGGAAACGCGACTCTTTCCTCTGTCTCTGGGTTGCCGTCAATCGCGGACACAAAACCCACAATCATGTTAGGCACACGGATCTTTCTGTCCAGGTCCAACTGTCCAATTGCCACAAACCAAACATCGTATTTATAGGTGCGTTCGGGTTGGCACAGTCGCTCGTATAGGTAGCGAGAAGCTTCTTGTCCACTGAGGACCCATTGTACATTTGCAGCCTCTGCGGATAGGCGAGCAAGCTTGCCGCCAACAGACCCACTTGGAGTGAGTCTCCAGCCCTGTGCGCCATGGACAACAAAATATATCCCGGCTCCCATACGCTGGCGGTACTCAATTCTCTCGCCCTGCGGCGTGTATCCCGGTCGATACTCCCAAGGTTCTGTATTCCGTGACGGGACATATGCTATTGCCTTGCTACCCCATAATTCCACAGAAGACCCAGTTTCAACACCATTTTGGGGTTGACCATCAAAACCAGGAGGCTTTGGTCCAGGCGGTTTGGGGTTGGGTTTGCCACCAGGGTACCACGGGGGTAGCTTATTTTCTTTGCAGAACGACTCCAAACTTTTCTCTATCTTGAGGACTGCCTCTACCTCGTGGGAGTTTTTGGCATCTACCAACGCTAACCACATATTGGCAAACCTCAGATAGTTGAAGACTCCAGTATCCGGAGCCAAACTGTTTTTAGTATTGTATTCTCTGATTTTGTTGTCCGAGGTCAAAATTGTCGCCACGGCCGCTTTGGCATTTTCGTTATTTTTCCAATTATTTCCATCAACAGTAATGGCATCGACTATTACTTTGACAACAGGTGTCATCCCTTGGTGGCTTTTTCTGTGAAATTCTGAGAGGGTGGGTCGCTTGTCACGTTTTTCGCGATGCTGAAGCATAAAATCTGACTGCCGCTGGGCAGGTGGGATCAACTTGTTTATTTCTGTGTAAGTTAGAAGATGATTTCTCCCAGTTGATGGGGTTTAAGCGTACTGATCTTCGCGTCGCTTGCAAGCTTCTTATCGCCCTCATTTGACCACTGACTAGGGTCCGCCATCTTTATCAGGTAACTAAACATGATAGTCTCTCCTTCCGGTAAGTTTGTTTCGATTGCGTGACTCATAGCAGTTGGGTCGGTCACTCCTGCAATACACCTAAAGATTTGTTTGAGGACATTTTTTGCAACTGGTGTTAAAGTTCCGTCCTCTTCCGGTCGAGAAGATTCGAGTGGTTGGCTTAATTCGATTATATTGTTTTTGACGGCGGCCGTAAGCTCTATATGGCGTAAGTAGTCAATATAACATGAAGGAACTGCAACATACTTGTACAAGCTTGCTGTGCCTTTGATTCGTCGTCTGGCCAACTGGGTGGATGCAAGATGTCAAGGATCTCTGATGGCGTCAGCTTAAAGTCGGGAGGAATAACATCCCCTATATCCGTGGCATCCCCGATTTCGACATCGGCAATCTCCAAGAGCATTTCTTTATCTTTGGAGCTAAGACTTGTGGCTCCCTTCCATTCCGTAGTATCTGCTCCCAGGCCTGGCTTCCATAACTCCTCGTCCTTAAGGCCCAAGCTCTCATATTGGCGGAATCCTAAAACGGAATGAGTTATACGGTGGTCACATTAAAGGGAGGTAGCTCATACGGGACAATGCTGTTTCACATTTGAAACTCCTCTTAATGCCAGCTTTCCTTTCAATGTCATCATCTTGTCTGTTGGCTGGATCTGTCAAAATAGCCTTGACTTCTCCAATAGTGAATGCAAACCCCTGAGGGAGAATATCAGGGAGGCCCTGGTCGTCGTGATCCACGATCTTATAAATGATTTCCTTTATCTGAGCAGGGGTAAGCTGTCGGGCTTTGCCAGGGGGGCCAGTGGCTCCATTATTCCCATCGGGGCCAGTGGCCGGATTGTTCTCATCGGGACCAGTGACTGGATTGTTCCCATCGGGGCCAGTGGCCGGATTGTTCCCGTCGGGGCCAGTGGCCGGATTGTTCCCATCGGGGGTGTCAATTTCCATGGTGGCTTTCCGTAGCGGATGAAGTAGTTCTGTCAGCAGTGCGTGTCAAATAAGGGATGACTGTGCCCGCAGTCTAAAATTTCAGGGAACAGAGAAAGAATGATACAGACCCCGGTATTTATGCGTATCATTCTGATATTCAACACCACACTATGACAGGACCCCTGAGAAAGCAGCCGACGAAATTATAGCTCCCAAAAACCGTGGCTCATGGCTTAGAGAAACCACGGCCTTCATTTGTATATAATGATAGCCACTTTTTCCATAATAGTAGCCTCTAAATATCGCTACATACTTTTGAGAATATCCATGTCTGAAAAGACCGGGAGAGTTCTGCTTGAGGGTCTAAGTTATTCCAAAGATCAAAGAAGAGTGAAGTAACGCGAAATGCAAGAATCTTTGACAAATACAGTGATAATTAGTTTCCTTAGATTCCTGTGTTCCTTATTTTTGTCTTGCTGTTAAATTTGCCTATATTGTTCCTAGCATCTTGCACGACTTGCTCCTCTCCTCATGCTGTCAGCTCTCACTATTCGTAGGTCCTTCTAAGCAATTTATTCGTCTTTTCGCGTAATATTGCTTGGCATTCTAGCACTAATTCCTGTTGAACCTAGCTCTTGTTTGGTGTAAGCCTGGGCCACGCGCTCCCACTAAATCTGGTGTTGATTCTCTTCCTGAGTATCAATGTTTCGTAGAATGAAGACATTTGGAATACCGTGCTTAATCATCTAGCGCCCGGACCCACCTGGCGCCCGATTTCTATACACAACAACACTGCTAAAAATGAAGCTTTTGAACCCTATACATTCTATATTTCTTAAAGATCTTTTGGTGTGGCAAATTCGACATGCTGAAAAACCTATATACACATTTTAATCATCACGAAACCGGTGGGGGAGGCGAATCTGGCGCCCTCGACGATTTATCGTTGTAGAGGACTCTTCAACAACCCCAGCTTCCTGGACAACGATATCTTGCTTATTTTGAGGTGTTGAAGGTGTGGATTGCTTCTTTTTACCCTTTCTAGCAGTTCTGATATCATTTTGAAGCTGACTATCCACTTCCTTAGCTATCCGCGCCTCCTCCTTTGCAGCCTCTTTTTGACGTTTCTTCTCCTCAGCTTGCTGCACGCGGAGTTGCTTATTAGACGCCTGAATCCTCTTTCTTTCCTCAATAATCAGTCGCTTCTCCTCCTTTTCTTGTTGGCGGCGAAGTTTAGCCTCTTCTCTTAAAGCTTTAGCATCCTTAATTGCCTGGTCCTTCTCCTTCTGGAGATCCCGTGCTTGCTGGATCTTCTTTGGAGAATAGAACACTGCATTACCACTTTCTGCATCCTGAAGTTGGAATATAAGCGGTTTACTACGCTGGCGTTTCCTTTTCTCATTCACCAACGCTTCCTCAAGGCCCTGGCAGCGGAGTTTCAGTATAATATTCTCTGTAGAGAGGTGGTACATCGTAGAGCTTAGTTTCTTGGTGTTTTGGTTATAAACATCAGAAACAACTTGTTTTAAAAGCCTTTCTATCCTCCGCCAGTCCTCTGCTTGCAGTACTGACTTTGACGATTCACTAGATGATGGTCTTTCCTCTGGTAGCTTGGTAAACCTTGCTAGAACCTTCTCCGGATTCCATGGCCATAATCCAACAGATCTCCACGAACTCTCAATATTTTTTGCTGTCAAAGCTGTTTCCCAGCTCTCCTAGAAGAGAGGAAAGAAGTCTCGCTTGCTAATTGCACTGATGCCTTGAGAATTATGCAAAAATCGTTCTAATCGATCCCTATACGCCTTGGAGAGAGGAGCAAAGATCCCAACATCTAATGGCTGCAAGGAATGCGTGGAATGAGGCGGAAAGGTAATAGTAAGGATCTTATTACTATCACAGAAGTCTAAAAACTTCATTGTGACATGAGATCCATGGCCATCAAGGATTAGAAGCCGCCAACGCCTTCTAGCTTTCTCCTTGGTCTCGCGATCAAATACATCTCGAAGCCAGGCGTATCCTAGATCATTGTTGGTCCATCCAGATGGTGAGGGTGCAAAAAAACACTGGTGCGAGTTCTCTTTGAAGCCCTGCAGCCAGCTATCTTGAAGCTTTCCAGATACCGTTTGATATATAAGACCGGGAGAAAGAGAGGTCTTATTTGCACAGATACAGGCAATTGTTGTGATTTACTCTCTATTACCATCCTGAACCTGTTGTTGAATACCCTCATGCTCGTAGGTGCGCCTAGAAAAGACTCTCTTGCCTTTAGGAAAGATTCTTATAAGAAATCTTTTTTTATCTATATTATAAATATTCTCTTACTAAATATTATATGTCACGGTGTAGCTGTGTACCTATCTGGTTAGATTCTGCCCTAACTATCTACCTCTACTCCTGTATTTAAGCTATGTTACCCCTAATCCTATTATAGCTCTTTAAACTATATCCTTATTCTAACCTAACCCCTACTTATTATACTTATATATAGATAGCCTAAATATATACCTTACTATTAACTATATCTATTACTTACTTACTTTCTATGATATTATATAGCTCTTACTCTAGATATAGCTATTACTAGTATATTAAAATAATCTAAATTATCCTTAATTATAGATTTAGTTAAGAAATTTATAAGCTATATTAATAATAACTTTATTACTTAAATTATTTACTTTAAATCTTATAATAAATATATTAATTCTCTAGAAAAAGAGATTTATACTCTCTAAAATTAAATTAATAAAGCTAGTCTAGAGCTAGCTAAGAAAGAGAAAGTAGTACTATATTAGAAAAAAGAACTAAAAATAATTTAATAAAAATTAATTAAATTTAAATATATATTTATTATATTATAGATTATTACTATTTTTATTATATTTATTTCTATTATTATTCCTATCTTTATTAAATATACCCTCCTTATTAAAGCTATAATAGCTAATATAATAAGAGTATCTATATTTATTTTTACTAGCTCTTTTTCTAGTATTTATCTTAGTAAGAAACTTCCTAATCTATAGAAATTTAATAATACTTATTTTAATCTTTATTACTTTATTTAATAGATTTATAGTAAAATAGATACTAATTTAGACTATTTTCTAGTTATTAAAGTCTAACTAACTTATATAGTAAGATATCTAACTAGAAAGGCTTATAAATTAATCTTACTTAAGATAAGATTTAATATTTTCTAATTTTTAGATTATTCTAATTTACTTAATTATCTAGAAATAATATTTAAAGATTTTAATTAAATTTAAAATACTTAAAATTACTTTTATAATTAAAAATAAAAAAACTTAGATTTTAATATTTATTTTATAAAGTTTTATTATTTTATTTTAGAAAGAAAAATACTTAATAACTCTTTAATATTTTTCTTAATTTAAAATATTTTAATTAAATTTTAAAATATATTATTTTATAATTCTATCTTATTTTAAAATTTCTAAGAATATACTAACTATCTTTAATTATTAAAAAATTATTACTACTAATACTAGCTATAAGTATCCTATTCTTATCTAATATCTAGTTCCTACTATTCTAGTCTAGTAATATTAAAGAATCTCTTTAATTTTATTTTATTTAATTATCTAGTTATACTTCTTATACCTAGAAAAGATTTAGATATTATAAATTTATTTTATACTTATTATATATTATACTTCCTTAAGAAAGAATAATATAAGTATAAGAAATACTTTTATTATAAAAATAAAATATATTATATAAAAAATTATTTCTTACTTAATTAATATTTTATATAAATTTAAAAATAGATAAATATACTAGTATATTATTCTAGCTTAATTCTTACTATAATATTACCTACTTCCTATATTATAGCTTAGGATAACTACTTTACTACCCTAGAGGAATCTAACTAACTATACTTACCTAATATCCTACCTAACTTAAAAAATAGAGTCTATCTAGTTATAGTTACTATCTAGTACTAGAATATATATAGAAGCCCCTATTACTAGATATATTACTTTACCTATCTTATATTATTATTAAATTAACTAATTTCTCTAATTCTTATTATATACATGCTAATCTAATAATATAGTAGATATAATTATATTAAGAAAATCTAAAAATACTAATTTATATTATAATTAATTCTAAAGTTAAAGAAATTAACTTTATAAATTATTAATAAATAAAAATATATAAATTAAAAATTATTTTATTCTCTTATTTAATATTCTTATTTAGCTTTTATAGTAA